GGGAGCGCTGCCGTGCTTCCCAAGCGGCGCACTAGCGCAGTGCGCCACCGGGCCGGCCCCTTCTTTTCTGTTTTAACTTACCCTCGCTCCATTCTCTCTGTCTTCCATTTAAAACAGAGAAACAAAAAGTAGACAGTGGAAGGACACTATCCCTACTGAAATTAGACAACATTAACTTGTACATTTCAACCACAAAATTACATGTACTTGTCATATCTGTGAATATATGTTCAATAATCAAATTACAAGTTTTAAACTTTTAGAGGAGTCTGTTTAAACTTTTAGAAAATTGTTATCTAAATTTTTATATAGAAAAAGAGTCTATCTTTTTTAAATATTTCAAATTATTACTCTTTCATTACTAAAATGTTTTCTAAACTGATAGAACAATGTATAAGCTTTAGTTTATTATTAAAATATAATACTCTAAAATGGAAATTAAGTATTTCTAATTATGCTTAACATTACAAACTTCTATAAATGTAACATAATAATTGACTCTACCAAAGTTTGATAAGTGACAAAAAAAGGTACTTCCAGACAGTTTTATGATAATCATAAAAAATTCTGCATTAATCACCGCAATAGACTAAAACAAAATGGTCTTCACGGTTATATTTTAAAAGCTAAATAACATAAATGTTAAGAAAACAATCTGTTTTATGACTGTATAATTTTAAGTTGTTTTAAACAAAAATATATTAACAATTTCCAAATTTAAAAGAACAAAATAGTATAACTAAATTCTCTTGTATTAGTTCAGAATTTTGTGTTATATAATATAAAATTTCACCTAAATACATACAGTAAGCTAGACTGAGAAAAATAAGAAAAATGCAATTTCAATTTAAATACATTATAAAATCACAAGAGTCCTTTTAAAATCTATAAATTTATTGCCTCATAAACTTTATAAAATAGATGTTTTTATTTGGAAACATTTGCTGTATTTAGGAATTGTTCACTAAAATATAATACTAGAAATATGAGAAAATAACTCTTCTAGCACTTTACTGAGAACGATTCTTCCTCGTCCCACCACTCACATAAATCTGAAGCTCTCACTTTTAGTAATTCTGACAGACACTCACCCAGCTGAGTCTCTGAAGTGAGCTCATGTACGCGAAGTGACGGTTCCAAGATACAGTTATAAGAAAGTAACAGCATCAGCTCATCTCCCTTCTGGCCCATAATTTTTATGTCAACTGCAGGAGAACAAGCCCTGACCTAGAAAGACACCTAAGGGAAAACTGAACTTCATTTCTGGAAAAGTAAACAGGAACAGCTGGGTTCCAAACTTTTTCATATGTGAGCTCATTTTCCTAGGTAGCTTGGCCTGGTGCATTGCACATTCTCAGTCATTGTCAGTAAAACAGATATCTCCCAATATCCCCAAATTCCCAATGAATAAAGCACAATGTCAGATTTTCCGTGTATTTCTGCTGGTTCAAGTAATTCACAGTGGCCTTTATAGTGGGCTCTAGTGTTCAGATTCAAAAGTAGAACATATGCACCTTTGTGTGAGTTAGAAAAATGCCAGTTCTATCAGACCTACATAGCAAAGGTTCTCTCTGCACACAGTGTAGAATGCTTTTGTATCTCACCCCTCACCAGTTGTTCCAGGTACATTTACTGAGAGCAGAAAGAATATCTCCATGCTAAGCATGATGAGATTCAGGATTTGAACTGCTCTCCCCAAGCGATCACAGTGTGATATCAAACTACTCCAGTGGTGTGTTTTGATAGCACATCCCTCATCTTCCTCTGCTGTTTCTACTCACACAGATGTTTACTTTACACACTCAGCAGTACAGCACCTACTTTTTAGTAACTGACATTTCTTTTGCTCTTGTGACATGCACACCTCTCTTATAACTGAAACTAACATTAATTTAATCATAATTGTGACTGCATATTTGTGATTGTCTTTCTCAATCTATTCCTATCATGTTAAAATTGTGACTTTTTGGGCCGGCCCGGTGGCGCACTGGATGGTGCGCCACTTGGGAAGCGCGGCGGCGCTCCCGCTACTATCATGTTAAAATTGTGACTTTTTTTCTATAAACCTATGGATCTTAGCACAGAACAGTAGTTCAGTCTACTTAGGTTCAGCATAATGTGCTCTTGTGTGTTATTTTTCACCCTCAATAAAAGTTCTCCATTTGGCTACAGCTGGGACATCCCACCCCCAAACTTTTATTGTTCATAAGTTCAATTCTTTCTTCTCTCTCTACCACAGCCCAATGTATAATTTGCTGTCCTCAATATGACTTCATTTCTCAATTCAGTTGGCTTTCTATGATCTTAATTTGTTTCCATTCTTGTAAGCCTTTCAACTTAATTTGAAACATTTTGTTTGCTCTTCAAAGAAAAATTGTCAACTAATAATTCTATACCCAAGAAAGCGATCTACAAAAAATAAAGAAAAAATAAACACATTCTAGACAAATAATAACTGAGAAAATTTGATGCTAGTGGACCTACCTTACAAAAAAATTAAAAAATCTTATTTAGGCTGAAATCAAGTGACCACAGGTCATAATTTAAATACACATAAATGACAAAGAACACTGGTAAAGGTAATCATG